CAGATTGTGCTTGGTGTACTCTGTGGGGGATGGCTGCAATCTGTGTGTTCTTTGTATAGTTGAACACTAAAAATCATCAGCTATGCAGAGAGCTGTCACAGGCTGCAGCATCCTCCTCTCCCCTCTGCACTGAACTCTCACTGAGCTCAGCAAGAAGCTCTGACACAGTCATGTGTCTCTGTTTACAGCCATCGTGTGATCAGAAGGGCCAATCACAGCTCCCATGTCCTTACCTGTGATGTGCTGTGTCCGAGGGACACAGCCATCATAGGAGTGCACCTCTGCGCGGCCCACGTTCTGACAGGACATTCGGGAACATCCACTCAGAATGGGAAAGCTCCCACCCGGCTGTTTATGTACAGTGGCCAAGTGAGAAGCGGTTAAATAAGGTGTTTATTTGCTGGAATGTAATGTTGGCTATTTACTGTGGAATTTCAATGTCTCAATCATGGACTATTTTTAATCATTATGCTGCTAGCATTAGTAAATAGATAGGATAGTCTATCGTAATAACTAGTTTTCATTTTTTTTTTTTACATTTCTTCAGTTACTTCTTGGTTTCCTGCCTAAGCAAATGATGTCATACATCCCAGGAGTCTTCAAAAGAGGAGGAGGGCTTTCAGCTTGGCCAATGCCTGAGATAAAGGCAGGTGGATTCCAGGAAGTAAATGCTACATGATTCATCTGCCCTTACTGCCAGAAATGCTAGGGGTGTTTGTTAAAATTATTTCTCAGCAAAATAAATAATGGAGACATTGATGGAAGGGGGAATTTGCTTTTAATATAAACAATGAATTAAATAGCATTTTTGGTTTGTGGTGCTCAGAGGCAGTGTAGTTCCACTTTAAGCCTAAAGCATTGTAATTCAGTTTGTATCTAAGCTAAATATACACTATATTGCCAAAAGTATTGGAACACCTGCCTTTACACGCACATAAACTTCAACTTCAGTCTTAGTTTGTAGGGTTCAATATTGAGTTGGCCCACTCATTGCAGCTATAACAGCTTCAATTCTTCTGCGAAGGCTGTCCACAAGGTTTAGGAGTGTGTCTATGAGAATATTTGACCATTCTTCCAGAAGCACATCTGTGAGGTCAGGCACTGATATCGGACAAGGAGGCCTGGCTCGCAGTCTGCGCTCTAATTCATCCCAAAGTTGTTCTATCGGGTTGAGGTCATTCAATTTCCTCCACCCCAAACTCGTTCATCCATGTTTATGGACCTTGCTTTGTGCACTGGTGCGCAGTTATTTTGGAACTGGAAGGGGCCATCCCCAAACTGTTCCCACAAAGGTGGGAGCATGATATTGTCCAAAATGTCTTGGTATGCTGACTCCTTAAGAGTTCCCTTCAATGAAACTAAGGGGCCAAGCCCAACCTGTGAAAAACAACCCCACACCATAATCTCCCCTCCACCAAATTTTACACTTGGCACAATGCAGTCAGGCAAGTATCAATAAGTGTATATATATCCTCAGATACATACACAGGTGCCGCGCTCCATATATACCAGTAATCATATAAATAGTGCTGTGACAAAACTTAATGTGCTAAAAAACAGTGCAACATATGGTGCTCAACAAAAATAAATGCTGATTCAAAAAAAAAAAAAAAGTCCTCTTTATACTTTATATATATTCAGTGACAAATTCTGTGCCGTGCCACACTCCCCGTGCTCTAAAGATAGATGTGCGCTCACCTCCTTCTTTAGCCAAACACAGTGGCTAACAGCGCTTTTTGTCCTCTCAGGACTAGGTAGTAATCTTCATATATTATATATATCCATCCTTGCCATGGATCTATATTGCCCTTTTCCTGCCACCAGAGGTCTCCCTTTTTATCCTCCTTCCACACTGAGCCTCAATGGATAGTAGGGATGGTTATTAGTAGTATTTCCTCCTCCCAGTAAAACAGGATACCATGTAAAAAAGAGCCACAATGGTGCCTTATCCTTTGTGAGGTTAAGTATTTTATTGTAAAAAAGATGCCACTCACATTGTGCTGTCTCCCACAGAGCTGTATCCAATAGAGCTGTGCCCAGATCCTGTGTTTGTAAATGCCGCTCGTCCACCGCGGCGTCGTGACGTCAGAGCCCCTCCCCTACGCGTTACGCCACAGGGTCACGTGGCTTCATCAGGGGAAAACAATTGGACGTCACTTCGCCCTGCTCTATATATATAGGCAGTCGGCGCCATTTTCTTGTAGCCCGCATGCGCGCGGCCATTTTCCTGGGGTCTATATATGCTGATTCACTACTGATATGTATACACATATCAGCTGTTCCATATAATATACTCTACTTCGTTCCTATTGCTATTTCTGACTTCATTGTCACTATTTACAAGCCAACAGGATCTAAGCACATTTACAACTTGATCATTAGTGAGCAGTAATTTATATAACTATTAAATACATGATTTTATTAAAACATAAACTATACCATTTTATTTATTAACAATTAAAAATATGCATAATAAAAAAAAAAATATATATATATATATATATATATATATATATATATATATATATATACTGTGGGGTTAGCTCAGGTGGGGGATCTCCTTCCCTGGGACAAAGGTAGACCGCACAGCAGGCTTTCGTCAAAATCTGACTGTTTGTCAGTTTTTATTAAAAGGTTTGCAAGAAATATAAAAATAAAACAAAACATCAAAAATAAACCCTTGCCATTCAGGCACTAACTAAACAGAAGATGATTCCTCTCTCAGAGGTGAAGGGCTTCTCCCTGTCACCAAAACAAAATAACAGCAAACCTTTTCTTGTAGGTATAGTCCATACACACAGCTCTCTCAGAATACCTCTCTGAGTCCCAGGCCACGCCACTCCTTGCTCCAGCCCTGCCTTATTTATGCCACCTGTTGGTGGTCATCAGTGGAGTCCAAACTCTGGTCCGGAACCACCTCTGCCATTGTGGCCCCGAAAACCCGGAGCGGACTCCACCTTACACCTCACAGTAAGATCTCATGCGAGGTGACACATACCGTCCATCCATCAGTTTGCCGTTCATACTGTCACATATCCCCCCCCTCTGCTCAAGCCCCTGTGGCTGAGCAACTGTCCCAACCAGGCAATGGACCGGGGAAAGGGCATCTACATTACTTTGTAGTTTCCCCGCTCTGTGTTCCACTGTGAATTTGAACACTTGTAGCGCGAGAAACCACCTTGTCACTCGACTGTTTTTCTCCTTATTATCACACATCCATTTGAGCGGGGCATGATCAGTAACCAACTTGAACGGTCTTCCTAACAGGTAATATTTCAGGGCCTCCAAGGCCCATTTGATGGCCAAACATTCCTTCTCCACAATGGCATAGTTTCTCTCATGTTTGTTGAGCTTTCTACTGAGGAAGACCACAGGGTGCTCCTCCCCTTCTCTGACTTGGGACAGTACCGCACCTAGTCCCACGTCAGAGGCATCAGTCTGTACCACAAACTCTGTTGTGAAATCTGGGGTCACAAGCACAGGTTGAGCACAGAGAGCTTGTTTTAGCCTTTGAAATGCGGTCTCCGCCTCGGGATGCCACTTAATCATGACCGACCCCCCTACCTTTTGTCAGATCTGTCAGGGGGGCTGCAATGGTGGCAAAATTGGGGATAAACCGCCTGTAGTATCCCGTGATTCCAAGAAATGCCCGGACTTGCTTTTTATTTACAGGTTGGGGCCACTTTTGAATTGCCTCAATTTTATTGATCTGAGGCCTAATGAGACCTCGACCAATGATGTAGCCAAGATATTTGGCCTCCTCTAAGCCTATAGCACACTTTCTGGGGTTGGCAGTAAGACCTACTTCCCGCAGCGAATCTACGACCGCTTGCAAGCGGGACAAATGAGATTCCCAGTCTGGACTGTGGATGACGACATCGTCCAAATAGGCAGCTGCATATTGGCGATGTGGTCTCAACGTCTTGTCCATCATCCTTTGGAATGATGCAGGAGCCCCATGCAAACCAAACGGCATCCGCCTATACTGAAAGGACCCCTCGGGGGTGGAGAATGCCGTCTTTTCTTTTGCAGCTTCCGTTAAAGGAATCTGCCAATAGCCTTTGGTCAGATCTAAGGTGGTTATGTACCGAGCCGTTCCCAACCTGTCAATGAGCTCATCCACCCGAGGCATCGGGTATGCATCAAACTTAGACACACTGTTCAGTTTCCTGAAATCATTACAGAAACGAATTGTTCCATCTGGTTTTGGGACCAACACTATGGGACTCGACCACTCACTGTGAGATTCCTCAATCACTCCCAACTCTAACATGTCCTTTATCTCCTTTGCCACCGCTTCCCGCCTGGCCTCGGGTATTCTATAGGGCTTGACATTTACGCGGACCCGGGCGGGGTACCTATGTCATGCTGTATGACCGTTGTCAGTCCAGGTAGGTGAGAGAAGAAATCTCCATTTTTCCTCACAAACTCCTTAACATCATTTTGTTGGGCTACTGACAAGGTTTCCGTTACAGGTACCTGAGGGGCCACGGGAACCACGTCCTTGAGGGGCCTTGGTACTGCCAACAAACTTTCCCTGTCTTTCCAAGGTTTTAAGAGATTAACATGATAGATTTGTTCGGGTTTCCTTTTTCCTGGCTGGTAAACTTTATAATTTACTTCCCCCACTTTCTCCCTAATTTCAAAGGGACCTTGCCACTTTGCGAGGAATTTACTTTCCACGGTGGTGACGTAGCCCGGACGGACGGTGGGGCGGAACGTGTAGCGAGGTCTGGGCGGGGATGGCAGACCCGGAGCTGGAAGCGATAAGACAGCAGCGGCTGGCGGAGCTACAGGGGCTGCGATGGGGAAGCAGCCGGGAGATAAAGCGGCTGGATCGACTGCCAGGGCCGGTGCGGGGCGTCCCCGCGGGAATATGAAGAAAAAGACAAATTCCACCCCGAAGGACCCGGACACCCAGGAAATCCCGTTCAAGCTGCGAGAAATCATGAAGAGTCGGATGGAAATGGACAAACCGAAAGAAAAAGAGGCGGCCAGTGCAGACACGAGGGCGGCACAGTGAGGGGTTGCAGACGGACATTCCGGTGCCGAAGTTCAAGCGGGAGAGAAACGAATCGGTCGGCGCCTTCCTGAGCCGCATGAATCGGGAGACCCAACATGTCCTCTTCCTCACCAAGAACCAGCTGGAGCGCCGGCCTGAGATGGATCTGGATGAGAAGGGAGAGCTTCCCAAGAAGGAGGAGGAGGTGGAGGTCACCAAGAAGCAGAAGTCTGAGAAGAGGAAACAGTTCGATCGGAAGTGTTTAGATAAATTCGTTCGGAGGCGAGAAGAGAAAAAAGAGGCTCGTCTGGAAAAGGAGATTTTCAAAGATGAAGTGATGTTCGGTGAAGTCGCGCTGGAGCCCCCATCACTCACAGTAAAGCCAAGAAAGGGTGCAGCTGGAACAAAGCCGAGAGAAAAACAGCTCTTCCTGAAGAAGCTCTTGGCCAAAGCGAGCGCTCCATCGATCCCGCCTCCGATGTCGATGGCCAGGAAGAGAATGGTGGAGGAGGAGCGAGAGCGGGTCATCAATGCCTACCGCGAGATGAAGAAGAGAAAACAGCAGCAAGCAGCCAAACCCTCCAGGTCTCTCCCCACACATGAGGGACCATCACTGGTGCTCTGTGGACAGCTGAGGAGGGGTTTGTGGGAGCTTTGGCTTCTGATTGGCTGTTATGAATTGTATTGGGGCACATCTGAGTGCGATTGATCAAACTATCCTGTAATTAAAGACCCCCAGCAGTCAATGATGGGGGTAGCCCTTGGTTAATGGGTGCCTCTGGGGCAAGGGCTTTCTCTAACGTTCTACCTTCAAGTGGGCATCTGAAGGCCGGCGTCCGAGATCAGTATTTACAACAAATAAACCACCCAACCCCCTCTCCGCCTCTCTCCATGAATGCCCGCATCCTCCACCATATGTGGGGTTAGCTCAGGTGGGGGATCTCCTTCCCTGGGACAAAGGTAGACCGCACAGCAGGCTTTCGTCAAAATCTGACTGTTTGTCAGTTTTATTAAAAGGTTTGCAAGAAAATATAAAAATAAAACAAAACATCAAAAATAAACCCTTGCCATTCAGGCACTAACTAAACAGAAGATGATTCCTCTCTCAGAGGTGAAGGGCTTCTCCCTGTCACCAAAACAAAATAACAGCAAACCTTTTCTTGTAGGTATAGTCCATACACACAGCTCTCTCAGAATACCTCTCTGAGTCCCAGGCCACGCCACTGCTTGCTCCAGCCCTGCCTTATTTATGCCACCTGTTGGTGGTCATCAGTGGAGCCCAAACTCTGGTCCGGAACCACCTCTGCCATTGTGGCCCCGAAAACCCGGAGCGGACTCCACCTTACACCTCACAGTATGATCTCATGCGAGGTGACACATACCGTCCATCCATCAGTTTGCCGTTCATACTGTCACAATACTCATACATATATATATAAAAAATGAAAAATATATGTGTTAAAAATTGTATACCATGCGGGTAAATACAAGCCTACTTTGTATAACTGGGATACACAATAGTATGTGGGGACCACTATATTCCCCATAATATATCCACTGCTTAATATTATCTTTATTTATTTATTATTCTCCTCATTCCAGATATCATATCAATAAATCATATACTAAAACCTACTTCTCTATATATCTTTTTTTTTACTAAAATTATTTTATTCTTTTAACCATAATATGGGTTCTATGCTCTTCTATTGTAATTATTTTCATATTAATTTATACTACCTATATTTCATAATTATATAAATTCTCTTAATTACATTATTTTAATCCATTTAAATATATACATAAAATCAAAACAATATCCATATACAATGAATCCATCTGAATAAAAATATATTATAAAATTAAAAATGTTTAAAAATTACTGATAAAACACGTGAGGTCAAATTCCTTATTTAAACCATGGGGGTCTAAACATCTCATTTCATAAATCCATTTTGACTCTTTTTTGCTTATCTCCCTTACCAAATTATCTCCTCTCCAGTGTCTCTGATGTTTCTCTATTCCCCAGAATTGTAATTTAGACGCATCTTGATTATGACATTGTCGAAAATGATATGACACATGATGGTATCTATACCCTCTATTGATGTTATAAACATGCTCCTTGATGCGTTCTTTTAGTGTCCTTTTAGTTCTCTACCGATGTACATCAGATTACATGGGCACTTCAGCGCATAAATCACTCCCTTCGTTTCACAGGAAATAAACTGTTTAATTTTATATTCCTTATCATTATATGTGTTCGAAAATGTAAATCTGCATCTTGGATTATTTACAAACTCTCTTACACCCATAGCACCTCCCGCATGAATAGAAACCCTTTACCTTGAAAGAAAGTAGAATGATTATTAATTTTCATTGGTTCCAATATATTTTTTACCAGTATATCTCTTAAATTCGGTGCTCTTTTGTATATAAATTTTGGTTTCTGGGGGATGATATTATTGAGATGTTTGTCTAATTTTAATATATCCCCAATGTTTAGAGATAATTCTCTGTATGGCTTTATATTGTTTGTGATAGTCCAGCACTATGGGTATATCATATTCCCCGTTCTCTTTCTTTGGTTTATCCATCAATAGGATATCTCTATTCATCTGTCCCACTTCATTTCTCTCTTTCTCAATTTTTATTGGATCATACCCTTTTGCTAAAAATCTGTTTTTTAAAACTTCACTTTGTACCTTATAATCTTCTTTTCTACTACAATTCCTTTTTAACCTTATGAATTGGCCCTTCGGGATATTATTTATCCACGGTTGATAGTGACAGCTCGTAGTTGGAATATATGCATTCCGGTCAGTCTTTTTAAAATAATTTTTTGTATACAATGACTGTCCTTCCTTTTTAATTGAGATATCCAGAAAATTAATTTCATCCTCCTTCATATTCCAACTTAAATTGATATTATCTCTATAGCCATTAAGATCTTGGTAAAATGATTCTAAACTTTCCTTACTGCCATTCCATATTATAATAATATCGTCAATGAATCTGTTATACAGTCTAATTTCTTCCCTGGGATTATTGTAAATTACCTCCTCCTCCCATTTTGACATATATAGGTTCGCTACACTCGGGGGCGAATTTAGCGCCCATTGCTACTCCCCTTATTTGTAAATAATAATCTTTATTATACCAAAAGTAATTGTGGATAAACAAAATTTCAAGCTCTTAATGATAAATTTTTTATGTTTATTAGGAATACTCGAGTATTTTTTTAAAGCCCATTTTTACTGCTTCTACTGCTCCTTCATGATCAATATTCGTATATAATGAGGAGATGTCAGCTGTACTCATAATAATATTTTCATGTACCTGTATATTCTGTATCAACTGTATAACATGCTTCGTGTCTTTCAAATAAGCTGGCGTATTCTCTACTAACGGTTGCAAAAAGCTGTCAATGTACTCTCCCAATCTTGATGTCATTGAGTCTATGCCATTTATAATTGGTCGGCCTGGTGGGTTGGTACTGTCCTTGTGTATTTTGGGTACAGAATATATAACTGGCAGTTTGCAAACAGTGGGTACTAGATATTTCTCTTCTTTACTGTTCAGTATGCCTTTTTTAGTTCCATATTTTACTAGTTTGACCAATTCTTTTTTGTATTCTTTAGTGGGATTGCTAATGAGTTTCTGATAAGTGTTATTGTCACGCATCATATCTTCCATAGTGGCTTCGTATTGTTCCTTTGACATAACCACTATGCCTCCCCCCTTATCCGCTGGTCTAATCACTAAGTTTGACCTCTTCTTTAGGCTTTTGATGCCTTTCTGCAATTGTATATCTTCTTTATAATTTTTTATCCTCAAATTTTCTAAATCCTTACTAACTAAATTTTTAAAAACATTAATATATTTCCCATCAATATTGGTTGGGTTAAAAACTGATTTATTTTTCAAATTAGTATGATATCTGTATGAGGGTTCATTACAGCCAATTGAATTGGCTGGATATTGTGCGTAATATTTCTTAAGGTTTAAATTTCTAATCAATTTTTGTAAATTCACATATGTATCAAACTTATTCAACCCTCTAGTTGGTGCAAATTTTAATCCTTTATCTAACGCATGGATCTCTTCTTTTTTAAGGGGAACCCCACTGATGTTAAAAATCCCCTCCCTTTTAATCTCTCCTTCTTTTTTTTGTTGTTGCCTTCTCCCTCCTCTGCACCCCCTCTTTTTGTTTTCCCTTTGTTTCCCCCCCTTTCTACTTGGGGGTACTGATTCCATCCTAAAAAAAGGGTCATATAACGGTGTTTCTGGGGTGTGTGTTGCCAGTGGAGAGAATCTATTGTATTGGGGTTCCTCAAATCTATCATACATCGGTCTATTGTAGAATTGTGGCCTTTGAGGTTTGGGTGGGTATTGTGCATAAAAATTAGGTTGTGGGTAGTAATTTTGTGGTCCTCTAGGTTGATAACCTCCATGATTTTTGTTGTAATATGGTTTGCCTCCCCAATATGGTTGTTGGGGTGGGCCTCTATAACTAGGTTTCCAATTTTTGTTATTATTGGGTTTCCTATATCCTTGTGTATTTTGGTCTGGGTGATTATGTATAGGTTCTCTCTGTTCTCTGTTCATAGAGTTAGGAGGTGTTTTAAACTCCAATACTTTTTTATTTGGAGATAATTCCCCCATTTTTACTGGTGTAGATTCTGTGGATCTGATCTCTCCTTGTGTGAGTTTAGTTTGCCACTTGAAAACTTTTTTCATTTGGTAATCCTGTGTTACTTTAAGAAATTTTTTCTTTTTCTTATTTTTATTTTCCAAGTCTTTTTTTTGGACATATTTATTAAGTTCATCCATATACTTGACAAACTCCGGGTGTCCTTTATATGTCTCTATTTTGGCTTTATTCTCCTGTAGATTTGACTCTACCATCCTCATCTTTTTCTGTTTTCTTTTAATGAGAAACTGTAGGGTTTCCATACCCTTTTCATTAAAGAAATTAAACCAGTCTTGGACATCCTCCTCCCCTACTAATCCATCCGCTATTGGCAAGTCCCACCGTAACTTTCTATGTATCTGAGGATATATATACACTTATTGTTATATATTACATGTTTCACACAGATAATGAGTATTGTGTAAAGTGTTGATGCACCATTTATTTGATTTTAAAAAAAATTTTTTGTACTAGGGGAGTATCACATTTTGGCTCACGAGTATCACTATATATTTTTCAGTCAGGCAAGTATCATTCTCCTGGTACCTGCCAAACTCGAACACATCCATCGGATTGCCAGACAGAGAAGCCTGATTCGTCACTCCAGTGAACATGTCTCCACTGCTTTAGAGTCCAGTGGGGGCGTGCTTTACACCACTGCATCCGATGCTTTGCATTGAACTTTGGTGATGTAAGGTTTGGATGCAGCTGTTCAGCCATGGAAACTCCTTTCTGTTGTTGTGCTAATCTGAAGGCCACACGAAGTTTGGAGGTCTTTAGCTACTGACTCTGCAGACAGTTGGCGACTTCTGCGCACTATGTGCTTCAGCATGTGCTGACCCCGCTCTGTCATTTTACGTGGCCTACCTCTTTGTCGCTGAGTTGCTGTTATTCCCAGTTGTTTCCACTTTGTTATAATACCACTAACAGTTGACCGTGGAATATTTAGTAGCAAGGAAATGTCACAAGTGGACTTATTGCACAGGTGACAACCTATCATGGTACCATTCTTGAAT